TGTGTGTGTGTGGCCAGCTCAGCCCACCAGGGGGCAGGGCTGGCTGGCATGTGGTGCTGGGGGATAGAACCGCAGTCCCTGTGCTTTGCTAAGCTTGTTCTAAGTAGGTGCTCTAGACCACTGAGCCATCTCACCAGCCCTAGCTTTGCATATTCTTAACAGTTTCATATATTTATGAATCTCTAGGTGACTTTTGAAGGAAATGAATGCAGATTACAACACTTTATCAAGCACCGATGGAAATTAAACAAATATGAGGAGGAAAATGTCTCTCCCTTGCATCATGCTGCAGGAGAAGGTCAGCTAGAACTGATGAAGCTGATCATCAGTGGTTCTTCTTGTGAAGGTAAAAAAAAAAAGTTACACATATTTCATAAACTCACCATCGCATTAAAGTCATATGGAGGAGTGGAATAAAGTAACCCTAAAAGGTGGATTAATACTAGATTACAAAGGGTCTGAATATAATTAGCCAGAGTGTGAGTTTCTCTAGAGAGCAATATCTTTGGGATGTTACCACTGAACTATTGTGAAGGACAGTGCAGAGATCTGGGATGTCCTCAGCTATCTGACACTTTCTTTGGCTTTACAGACTATCTAAAAATGTAAATACATTCTTTATATCTTCTTTATTACTTTAGTAGATATTCCTCTACATTTCAATTACTTACCAGGAAGATGTAGTATTTTCCCTCTTCCATCACTGGAAACCCACCTTCTTTGACAAATTGAATTGTAGATATTGAAGGTGGTGAATGCCCAGAGATTTTTAACAGTTATATGGTATGTTGAGACCTTTACTGTATAATTCCATAAATATTGTGGAAGATGGAATAGAAATAGGAGGCTAGGCAAAACTCTATGCTATCATAAAGACATGATAAGGATCCATCACAGTTGTGAGTTTTGAATAAAGATAAAGAAAGAGATCAGGGGATATTGCAAAGTGGGTTCAACAGTATTTGGCAGTATATTGAACAGGGAATTGAACTCCCTGGAGAACCACCAGTAGTTGGAGCTAACTTTGAGATACCTTCTTTAAGAGATAAGGCTGTTAATATAACCCTCCATAAAAGGAGGCATATAAATAAAAGGAAAAAAGTAAATGTGAGGTTGTGAGATTGGGCCATACTGAGTTTGAGTGGCCCAGGGGACAGAACCATAGAGATCCATTAGACCATCAGAAATGCAGAAAGAAAGGAGCTGCCCTTCCAGGGCCATGATTGCATGGAAGTGAATGAGACTGTGAGACGAATGAACAGCTTTTAGGCGACTGTAGATCCTTAACAAAGGTAGCTAACAAAAGTAGCTTTCTTGATTACCAACAAGAAAAGGTAGCAGTACAAGAACGAGAAAATATATAAAGAAGGTAGTCTATAAGGATCTGATGATACAAAAACCAAGAGAAAAATTTTGGGGATAGATGACTCACAAGGATCAGTTGCTCTAAAGTGATCATGTACAAAGAAGACCACAAGAAAGCTCTCACATTTAGAGTCCCCAGTGACCTTTGTAAAAATGAGTTCTGAAAAGTGGTGAGCATAAAAGCCAATCTCAAGTTCTTTAGTTATTAAATGGGTGTAAGCATAGAGACCTGTGCACATTTGGTACTGAATAGAGTGCTCCATCTTGCTCAGACAGAAAGGTTACAAAATGTGCATAAGGACACGTCTAATTCTTGGTGAGTGTGGGGTGTGTGTGTGCATGCATGTGTGCTGCTGCTGCTGTTGTTGTTGAGAATGAGGTGAGTGAAAGGATTGGAAAGAGAAACTGTCAAAAAAATAAAAATAAGAAAAAGCCATATCATGGATTTAGATATTACAGATGGTCGCCATTACTCTTTTTTAATGCATTTGGTACAGGATCTCACTAGGCAGATCAGATTCTGCAGTGATCCTCCTGTTTTCACCCTCCTTAGCACTGGGATTGCAGGACTACACCACCACACCCAGTCTTCATGGCTTGTTCAGTGTGCCCAGGGGTTGAACTCACAGGGCATGTGGTTCTGGGGATCAAACCCCAACCCTTGCATTTACCTAAGCAGGTGCTTAATCTGCTGAGCTATCTCGTCAGCCCTGATGGTCCCCATTCATGAGTGATTAGTTTTCTCTCTACTCAGACATGAAGATATGTGGCCACTGGGCCAGGAATATAGCTCAGTGGCACAAGTGCCTACCTGCAAGTGCAGGATCCTGAGTTTGATTCCGGTACAAATTATATATATATATATATAGCCATTGGTTGAAATGATTGATAAAGCAGACATCGATGTTTACTTGTCTACTTTAGAGTAGATATAGGATACTTCAGATGAAGGGACATACAACTCTCACACCAAGCCCATGGAATAAAAAGTATCATTTGTTGTATTGTAGAACTGTGTACAAAATCAAAGCTCTTGTCTTGTGCTTTATTAGTGGTGTATATTTTTCTCACTAACATTTCTGGAACCTTTCTTATAGGCCAGACACTCTGCTTAAAGATATGAATTAACATTATTGTCCACAAATCAGTAGAAGGTGTGTGTGTATGTGTGTGTATGTGTGGTGCATATGTGTTCACGTATATTATTTTGTACCAAGTTTGATTATGAAAAGCTGAGGTTCAAAGAGGTTGTATAATTTATACAACTCCTTATAGTTGTATGATGTAAAATTCTTTCAATCTCTCTAGGCCTCAGCACTTTCTGAACAATGGTCATGGTAGTACCCTGCCGGCTAATGGAGGTTTGACTGAAACTGTGGTCTTGAGAAACCTTGTAGATTGTCTGGAATAGTGTTCCTGCACTTTTATCATCTTAGTATTTCCTCACAATCCCCAAATTCATGTATGAAGGCATGTGACAGTTGGAAGACCTATTTCTTACAGGTGCCATGGTTAGAAATTTCATTGACAAGTTCAATGTCATATTTTCGCATTCCCAAAGGTTTCCACTAGATTCTTCTTAAAAGCTGCAGCTGTATTTCTATCTCTCGCAAAGAGCATGCTGCTGTTTATACTAGCACTTGGTTCTGTGCTTGGAAGTAGAGAGACACTTGGGAAGTAGTGACACAGTCTGAACAAAATTTAATCCTATTTTGCATTTTTTTCTAGTGCTGAATGTAATGGACAATTATGGAAATACTCCTATGCACTGGGCTGCAGAAAACAACCAGGTGGAAAGTATTAAGTTTCTTCTTAGCCACGGAGCAAACCCGAATCTCCGGAACAGCAGCATGATGGCGCCCCTTCACATCGCTGTGCAGGGCATGCACAACGAGATGACACAGGTAGGCTGCTGGCTGCAGCAGGAGCTGCCCGGGCCGGCAGAGGCTCGCATTCCCAGCTGCATCTCCTCCACCTGGGCCACAGTGGCTGACCTCAGCTGTCAGGGCAAAGGCTCTGTAAGGATTCAAGGTCCACTTTACTTTACCACCTGGTGTTGTTGATGATGGCAAGGATGGTATTATTTCCTCAATTAGTTTTAATTTATGAAGCATTCTTAAAAGGTCTGTGTTTTGCTTATTAATTTCTTGTTTTAAAAACAACTATGAATTAAGACTATTAGAATCTCTAGTTTACAGTTGAATAAGATAAAGCACAAAGATAATGGGGAAGCATTCATAATGTCACATAACTGGTCAGAGCATGCAGGAGGAATTTGGCTGTCACTGCTAAGTCCTCAAACTCTGGCATTACTGGTACATCACAGATTGAAACAGGAAAGGGAAGGAGGGGATGGCTATACCCCTGAAAACAGAAACTTTATTTATATCCTAGGGTTTTTGTTAGAATGGATCACCTGTCACAATTTCTGCTAGGATTAGCTAGTAGAAAACATATGAAGAAGAAACTGAAGAAATTTCCTACTTTTCAAGGCTCTTGAGTTTACTCAAATAGAGTCTTGATGAGTGCTTCTTGTGGACATTTGGGCCATGGCTATGCCTCAGAGCTCCACAGCTGCACTAGAAAGCGCAAATGCTTCCTTAAGGAGGAGTGCCATTTACTAAGAGACTTCATTTCTAGGAGCTCATTCCTAAGGTAAGCTATTTGGAACACACATTAAGTTTTCCTATGGAAACAATGTTGGGAATGATGCTTTATTCTAGGACACACCTACATCTAATTGTTTATAAAGTACCAAAGAAACCCATGAACTCTCTAAGCTCCCTTTAGAACAAAGCACTTTTCTCTCGGCCCTCTGAGACCTTGGCTCTTTAGGTCTGGTGTACAAGGATTGAGAGGAGCTTTGTTCTGCTTCCACCCTATGCCTGGTTTGGAGTTTTATCATAATTTTTGGCTCATGAGCTTGTTACTCATTGCTCATGTGCTTTTCTTCCATGCTGATTCTCCTTGAATAAGGAAGCGTGGCTAGCTCCTCTAAGTGTTTCCTGTCCCTGAGCCCATGCCAGTGAATGAAGACTGCTGAACAAACGAAAGAATGAGTGGATGAATAAAGGAGAGAGCAGAGGCATTGGCACGTGTAAGATGGGTCAGGCCAGCCCTCTAGAGGTTATTAGAAAATGGTCTCTGGCAGTGGGCAGTTTGTTTTCTTTTTTAAAACTGCTATAGAATCTGTGAGCCATGTCCCTCTCCTCCATCACATGGGCTGAGTCACTGATGACTGCAGGGACCCACACCCCCAGAGATGTCACTTATTTCTTCATAGAACTCTTTTATCTTCTCAGTGTGTTCTTTTCAGAAACAAGAGCCTGTTAATTAATGTTGGCTCTAAAAGATTCGGGAATTCAAAGTGAAGTAAACAGTTGAAAAGCTATTGTTAATCACAAAAAGAAATTTTCAGATCAACAAATACATAAATAGAAAAGACAGATGAGAAATAAGCCCATAACTGCCAGGGATGTAGCCCAGTGGCACAGTGCCTGCCTGGCAATCACAAGGTTCTGCGTTGGATTCTCAGTACAAAAAAAAAAGATAAATTAAAAAAAAAAGAAAGAAAGACAGTTCATAAATGATTTATAAACTAGATGTTAAACACCAAAGAACTTTTTCCTGGGTGACGCCAAGACAAGAAGGAGAACAGATCATGAGGGAGTTTAAATTCTCTCTTCTTCTCTTGGTCTTCCTAGCTGTAACTACTCTAAAATATATTCAAATCCCTCTTGCATAGTGGAGGAGGAGAGGAGGAGGAGCAGGAGAAGAGAGAGATGCGGAGTTTCTCCATGCATGCTATCCCAGTAAGCCAAAGGACCCATACTCACCGGCCCCTGCTAGTTAGGAAAGCTTCTTCCTTGTCCTGTCTACCAAACTTGTCCCTAACTTTCCAGTTTCCTGTGTGGTTGTCATCCACATATCACTTCAAGTAGTAGTAGTCTCTGAGGTCCATTGGCTTTGAGGTGAGGAGTGGCCTTATTTTTCAGAGACCTTAGCCCTTGGCCTTCCACTCAAAGTAGCCAGGTATAAGACTTTCCCACTTAGCTCTCTGCCTTATCAAAAATGTCTCAGAGAGCTCATCTTCAACCTACTAGACTTGCCTGCTCGTGACTGAATTTTAAGTAGATGCACAGTTTAGTTGCTTTCTCTCTGGACCACCACCAGAGATATATAATTTACTACAGCATTTTTGGAAATGAGGCTTATAATAGAAAAATGACAGCATGTTAATAAATGTTTCAGACCTATGATGCATGATTGTAAAGAAAAAGAGTACAAACATTTTCTTCTTTTAGATTTTTTCATTTTTTGTGTTATTTTTAGGGAAAAGTCTACAGGGTGTTCAGGATCTCACTACTAGATTGGACTTGTAGTGATTCACCTGTTTACAGTCTCCCAAGAGCTGGGATTACAGGCAAGTGCCTCCCCACCCAGTCTCAATTGCCGGCTCAGC